TGATTGGATGTACGATCAAAATCCCTGGAGGTTAAATTAGTGGGGGGAGGCACCAAGCCCTAAGCTTGAGGTCTGGTGGTGGGAGGCGCGGAGCCCTGCAGGTTAGCTGATGTAATGTGCCTACTCCCGTCTTCCCCCGAACACAACGCACCCTCATTCTGACTGTATCTGGCCGAAAACATATCTTGTATACTCTCCTTTTCTGGGTGCGTTATGTTCGGGGGAAGACGGTAGCTGTGGAGATTTGCTGGTGGAGGGCACTGATCCCCCTGCAGGTGCAGTGATGGAATGCACGGAGCCCTGCAGCAGGTTCGGAGATGGAATGCTCAAAGCCCTGTCGGTTTGGTGATGGAAAAATGCACTTGAGCCCTACAGATTCGCTGTAAGTTGGCTGTAGGTGCGGTGTAGGTTCGACGGTGGAAGGTTCGGTGCAGATTCGGTGATGCAATGCGGCAAGATGTGCAGGTTCGTTGATGGGATGCGTTCATAGCATTCATGGGAAACTTATGAAACACACATGGAGTTAGCCGTAAGATGAAACACACATGGAGTTAGCCGTAAGATGAAACACACATGGAGTTAGCAGTAAGATGAAACACACATGGAGTTAGCCGTAAGACACAGTGTCACACGCAGTCGTAATCACAGCAGAATCGTTGATGGGTGATGGGCTGGTAGGTAGCCTCGAGTGGAATGTTTCTTGATTCTGTCTACTACGTGAGAGGGTGGTACCTCTTTTTTTTTTTTTTTTTTTTTTTTTTTTGGTTGGCGTGGGACAGAGTGGTACCTACAACTCAACTTGGTCAACTTGCCGAGTAAGTAGGCTAAGGACGGATTTGCAGTCCAATACATTACCTTTATGTTACTTAGCCTTTGATTTGATTGATGAAAAAAGAACGTTGGGTATTCTCCAGAGTGGGTATTCTCCAACCGACCCCAATAGCCCGTGGAAATCCTTGGGTCTGCAGATACAGTGGTGGTTCGATTTAGATAAAAAGGAACACAAAACAATTGAATAATTCAGAAAACGATTTGTTTATTTACGAAGAGCTTGTGGTCATATATTATTTTTCTAAAATACTAATCCACAAAACAATTAAATAATTCAGAAAATGGCACAAGAAACATGTCATGTGTGGGTGTGGGTGTGGGGTCGGTTTGGTGGTTTGGACCGAAGCAAGGGCCATGTGAAGGCATAATAGTACTCGAAAACTAGGATTTGTTTTGATGGAATCTGGCTTTGTTTTCGGCCAGATACATCCTGGGAAGTGCTGCTGTGAGAGTATGGCCTGAAATCTACTCCTGTGTATGGCTCCAGTGTTTCATGATGTGCTAAAGGACTTTCATAACACTGCTGACTAACTGTGTTTTCCCCCCAAATGCAATGCACCCTCATCATGAATGTATCGGGCTTGAAAGACAGCTTGTATACATTCATGGTTGGGTTGAATTGCTTTCTGGAGGGGGGGGAGACGGTTGTCAACCCCTAGGCGGACTTCCGTCCTTCCCCCAAATGAAACATGGGCCCATCCAATCTGTATCTACCCTGAAACGGTCGCTGTATACAGATTTAGTGTGAGACGGTGCCGTTAAACCTATGTACTGTCTGGAGGGTGCACTCTCCAGATGGGATTGAAATGTGGTGAGCAACCAATAGCTGGGCCTAGCTCACTTGGTACACCCCCCCTGGACTGAACTGTTGAAATACAGACCAGGTGCTGAGTTCGAACTCCACTCGGTCTGGAAGCAGATGAGTGAAATACACTACAACATTCTCAAATATTTCTTTCTTTTTCTCTTTTTTTGAAAAGGCCCCATCAGTTCGATGATGATATCTCAAGGCCGTCGCCCTTTCAAAAAGAAGGGAAAGTTTTCAAAATGCCCCTGAAGTTTGCGTTTATTTGCACTTTGCCCCTCCTAGGGCCGACTTACCCTGATGTGCCCCTCTGACAACGATTCAAGTTTCCAAAAAAACCCTGGCGTCGCTTGGGCCTGAAATATGTTCAATATGCCCCTACCCGTACCGGTGCCAAATTTCCAGTATGCCCCTACCGGAAAGCCATTGGGTACCGCCATCTCTAATGGTATGTTCTCGGCTGTACATTACCCTCCTAGCTCCACAGGTTTGTCACACACACATACACACAGAGAGAGAGAGAGAGAGAGAGAGAGAGAGAGAGAGAGAGAGAGAGAGAGAGAGAGAGAGAGAGAGAGAGAGGCGTGGAAGAAGGGGAGGAACAATCACCTTCGGCAACACACTCCGAGGACCTCCAAGGCGGCGGCAGGTCGCAGTAGCAGAAGAATGAACTCCACGATGGATTGCAGCAGTGGACAGAACGTGGAGTGGAGTGCTGTATACCTTTCTCGGCCTTTTGGCTAAGATAGTATCTGTTCTGATCAGTTTAATATCTGATCTGTGGCCCATCAGGTCACACGATATTTAAAAAAAAA